ATTAAAGCAACATCAATTTTCACATGGTGGAATATAGAGTATGTGAATATGTGATTTAGTAACTCTTCCATTCACAACTAATCTTCTTTAACACAATGGACCTACACAAGCTCACATTCGCACTGAAGTGTCACATCTGACCTTCTTGCACCTGAAAAAAGTCTGTCCATCTTCCACTGTGAGAAGATAACTCAATACTACAGTCAAAAATGTATTACTGTGAAAAGAGAACAGACAAAAAATCAACAAAGAAATGCTGGTGTTCTCAGAATAATGGACTGGTCACTCATTACTTGGATTGTGAGAAGCAAAAAATCAGACAAACTTCCAAGACTGAACTTTAGAGGTGTGGAAAAGTATCCCTTAGGGACGGGGGACAGACAAGGCAACACGTCCTGCAAAGTCAAATACAAAAGCCAAAAGCAGCACTTCATTAAAGCAACATCAGTTCTCACATGGTGGAAAATAGTCATAATGTGATTTAGTAACTCTCTCATGCACAACCCAACTTTTTTACACACAATGGACCCACACAAGCTCATATTCACACCGAAGTGTCACATTTGATCTTCTCACACTTCACTCAGTGTCCTTTTACAGTCTCCATTGATCTTAAATGTCACACTGCGCGTGAGTTATAGGAAGGAGTGAAAATGTCACCTCACAGTCGAGTCGACATGTGAGAACTCTCTCGTTACTTTAGGTAGCTAAAGGCTTGTGACTGACTGCCAGGGTCATGGCCAGCCCCCTTCATACGGGGGAGGAAATCCCATGACCTCAGGGTCCAGCCTTTCCGCTCAGCTGAGGAAGACCAGCCAGGAATATTAGAGTAACCTCTTTTTCGGTCTTAGGGTACAACTCTCTCTCGCAGACAAGGCACCTAAAAAAACAGACTGCCATTTCAAGATTTCAAGATCAAAATAAGCCAAGCAGAAAACATTAGCAACATTAACAAGAAACTACACACAGCAGCTGATTAAACTGATTAAAACTATATTTTAGAGTTTAAGGCTAGTGGGATACACAAAGTGTGGGAACTCTGTTGGTGCATGTTGTTGGAAAAAAGCCTGAAGGCAGGAATATAGAGGGACAAATAAGGCCTACGCTCCTAAAAATAAAGGGTTCTAAATGGTTCTTGGCTTGGACATAGGTTATGTGGAGATTCCTCACACTTCTCAACACTTGCAGGTCATTGACAAAAGCTTTTTTAAGGAATCCTCCACTTAAAGGTCCTTTTGTGGTTTGTCTGTGGTATCATTCCAAATAACCCCTCTGGCACCGTTATGTTTTGAGAGCGTATGCTGCTGAAATGCTACTTAAGGCAAATTTAAAGTTGAATCAGCATTGCATCGCGTCAAAGCACAAAACATTAATCCCAGTGGCCAAAGCCACCTTGCATAACAATGAAATAAAATAAAAGTTTAACTCCTGAAACTTTTATAGTATTTTTCCCACACCACTGTAGTCTGGTTTTTAACGAATGTTTACAATTAAGACAGTTCCTTTCCAGCTCTTGCCAATTAAACTTGAATAAAAATGGGTGAGAGGAGGGATTAGGAAATTTTTTTATAGTTTGTTTATTCAAAAGCTGGGCTGTATGTCATTTTGACAAGGCAAACAAATGGCGAGAATGTTGTACTTCAAGTGGATTAACATCTACCAGCCCAAATGACTCCTATTTTCCCAGGCAATGCAGAGCACATCAATAGTTATTTAGGTTCATAATGCTACTGCTTGTGTTCACATGCTGTGTTTTAACACAAGCCTTTCATTTAAGCCTAATTCATTCAATGTGCAATGAGGGGTGGGTCGTTCAATCATTGTATAATAGGGTGGTCCACCACAATCCATGCAAATGAATGGGTGATCAGTTAACACAAAAGAAGGCAACACCAAAAGTCTGACTTAATATCAGCTTAATCAGTGAGGCTAGACATATAAACCATTCAAAACACCAGCCCAGTGCTAACACTGAATACAGTGTGCCTGTTAGTGACTTTACAGTATGCATATTAATTCATTTAAATATGGAGTGGCAAGACTGGATTTTATGCCACAAAAAGTGTTTGTGATATCAGATATACTGACACGTTAGCTGATGTTATCAGTTCTGTTTGACAGTACAAATTCCTGTGTATACCTTAAAAACAGAAATCCTCTTGAACAGATTTGCTGAACTTGCAGCGAAAACCACTGCCAGCACTCTCCAGAGTTACAAAGTCAGGAAGCCTTCAGCCGGGGCGTGGTCCCACGGTCTGCAGGAGACCACCGGATGGATAATCATAAACAAGAAAATTGTTTACAAATGTCCATCTTTAATGGGTGCTCTTAGCAACTTCCTCATCTGAAGAGCATTCACGTCACAGCGCTAAATCATCAGGAGAGTTGGAGGGGAATTGTATAAACTGATGGTCATTACAGTAAAAGCATGAAGTGCCAAGGCCTGGAAATGATAGAGGTGCTCGGCTATGTGCCTATAGGCCTCTTCAGGAGGCAGTCGAAGCAGAGCTGTCAGGCCTTTGTGTGTTAATGAGGGTATGTCTATAACACTCAGACGGGGAGAGGAGGACCATCTTTTGGTTTTCATTAGTCCTCTAATGGTCAGTGGGTGGGCCTAAGGCAGTGGACGAACAGGACATAAGGGCAGATCTCAGCCCACTGGTGGCAAATTGACCACCAACTGGAAGTCAATGGAATGTGCAGACAGCTTTAAAAAGTGTGACCCTTCAAGGACAGGTGAATAGCAGACCGCCATACAAGGCGTCAAAAGCCATCAGAGAGTGCCAGAGAGCCATAATGAAAGCAATTGCTGATTCTGGCAAAAGTAATTGCCAGTATAAATTTCCAAAGGAATTTCAACTAAACTTGAAAAATGTTTGGAATGCAGCCTTGAGAGTTGTCGTGCATTTCCATTGTCTTGTAAGCTGCTCTATTGACGGAAAGATTGGTGGTCAGTCAAACTGAGAGGACAGCCTGTTCCCCACGGAGCGAGTGCAGTGTCTAGCCCAGTCTAGTATGACCTCATAGGTGTTTCTCAAGGAAATCCCTCTCCCTTCCAGGCACAATGACAGAGGTTCCTGTTTAAAGAAAGCAGTCCACCTACCAACCAGTGTAAATTTGCCCTCTGCCTACGTAATTCCTATATTCACTATTACTCATAATCAACATCCAAGCTGTTGTTTTGTACTTGGCAAGCTTCAACTTTAAAAGTGTAGGGGTCAAGAAAACTCCCCAAACAGCACATGGGTCACATTTATACCTTCATACATTATGTCTGACAGACTATATACCAAATCAGACCGAAAGATCATCAAATGTTGGAGTTTTGGATATTCATGGATTAAAATGTTAAAAAGTGGTAGAGCAGTCTTTTGTGCTTCAAATCAAGCTTTTGGCTTTGCAGTGTAAACAAGAACTCTGGAACTCATTTTTTACACTTTAGCTTTCAATTAGTCTTTGCTTTTTGAGCTGCCCTTTAAGCTACCTTTCTACTTATTAAAAGTAAAATGTACTTAAAAGAACAATACAAATAAAGATTATCGTTATTCCTGTATTAGCTCTGTGTAAGCTGTATACCGGGGCAATGAAAGCACATTACAAATAGATTATTATTATAGCATTAGCTCTCTATAAGCTGTATACAGGGACAATGATGAGTCAGTGCCGCCCTATCAATTTGTGATAAATTATGTCACAATACAATGTTTTACTGACATATTGTGTATATTGTCAGTAATTGTAAAAAAACTACCCGATTGTATGTTTTATTATAAAGAGAGTAAGACCCTGTTAGTCCTGTTTAATTGGATGTAGTGCAACACAGTATGCCAAATATTGAATAAAAATCATTGTATTCACAGTATTTGATATTTTTTTTAAATGTAGCACTACTGTTTTTTCACAATTTCAACTGATCAGATGTCTGAAAAAATAAACATTATTGTGTATTGTAAAAATTTCTTGAAGTGTTGCAATATTATATTTTTGCCATATCGCACACCTCTATGGCACTGACATCATGCTACTGTGTTAAATATAGCCACAGCAGCTTGGAAGTACTTCGGAAAACCGTTGTTACTTAACACAGTCTGGCGCTGCATCAAGAAATGAAACTTGAAACTCTATTACACAAGAAGAAAGCCATATATCAATTCTGTGCAGAAGCGCTGCCGAGTTCTCTGGGCCCAAGCTCATCTCAGAGGGTCCAAAAGACAGCGGAAATGTGTGTTGTGGTCAGATGAGTCAATATTTCAGCTTGTGTTTCGGAAAAACGGACATCAAGTTCTCCATGCCAAAGACAAAAGGTACCATCCAGACTTTTGCAAAAAGGTGCAAAAGCCAACATCTGTCATGGCATGTGTGACTTGCATATGTGTGAAGGTACCATTGACATGGAGGCATATATTGGGCTTTTACAGAGACATATGCTGCCATTAAGACGACATCTTGACTGACCTGCCTGCAGTCCAGATCTGTATCATTTTGAAACTGTATGGCACATTATGAAGACAACCACGGACTGTATGTATATATATATATATATATATATATATATTTATACAGTATACAGTATACAGTATATATATATATATATATATATATATATATATATATATATATATATATATTTATACAGTATACAGTATATATATATATATATATATATATATATATATATATATTTATACAGTATACAGTATATATATATATATATATATATATATATATATATATATATATATATACACACACACATTCCTTGTCAGGTTTTTTTTTAACATTAGCCACTGATTAACTTCATTTTCACAGAAAGCATTTACTGTACAGTTCACCTTACCTTCGCCGCTGTAGTAATGATTACTTAGGAGGGTATAAGTTCCCCCACCCTGGGGCAATTCATTTTCACCTCCTCATGAACAGCCAAGCAAGAGAGAGGAGGGAGAGAGAAGGAAAAGCTGAAGGGGTAAAGACCAGGGCCAGCCCACTTCAAGTCTAATCCTGTCAGCGACTCCCTCCTCATCACCTTTCCTCCGCTCAGTTTGTCACTGCAAGCACAGCATGAGGACCCACGCGCTCTAACCCACCACGGTACGTACAGCCCATACAGTACTGTAGTTTCCGAGTACACTAGGTTTTAAGTGGGAAAAATGACGGCTAGCTACTTGCTAATCTATACAATAAACTGTGACACTTTATAAGAATAACTGAATACTCGTGTTGTATTAAACAGGTTTGAACTATATAATAAGTTGTTCAGTTCGTACTCAAAATTTTAGTTATTCATCATATTTTCATCGTTTCTTTACGTTTAGCTTTATTTTTAGCCGGTTTACTGACTAATGCTCGTAAAGTTAGCATGCACGTAAAAGTCTTATTTTAGGGCTTATTTTAAGCGTTTCTCCTGCACGCAACTAACGGTTGGTTGAATCTTTTGCCTCAGATTCCTAATTCGAGTCACAGTTTTATTGACTTCAACACATTTTCAACTCATTTTCGGCGTGAAGTTAGTGTTAAAGAACTGCGCTGCTTTAGAAAAGTAACGCAGTGCTGGGTGATGAAGTAACCCAGCTGCGTCAGTAGCTCGTGTTGAATGGTGAGAAAGTTTTTCATTGTTTTGCTCGAGGGCTTTACCTGCTGAGATGGCAAACACGCCCGTCTTCTTTTCTCTTAATCAAACTGATAGTTTTGCTTGGTCGCCTCTACCTGCCCAGCAGGCGTTTCTTTACCTTTGCTCTTTCATTTTTCTCTTTAAATCTCAACTTGTTCTCTATGTACATGTAAGGTAACATCTGAGGTATAACCAAAAATGTTCGTTGTATTAATTAACCTATGTTTTATTACAAAGAGTGCATAATTAATCCTGTTTAAATGGATTTAGTGCAGTGTAGTATGTGAAACAAAAAATCATTGTACTCCGTATTTGATAGTAGCTTAAAATGTAGCACTACTGCTTCTTTTTTGTCTGTTCCAACTTATCAAACCTCAGAAAAGTTAAATATCATAATGCATTGTGTATTGATGTATCATTATATGTTTTTCCTATACCCCACATAATACTACAATTTCAAACTTTAAAATATATTTGTGAGTAGTTTTATTTGTTTATAATGCAGTTTGAATTTTGTTTTTTAAGTCTTTGCTGAACTAGTTATTCTCTTATGTTAATTCTTCCAGGTTCTTCTAAAAACTCATAGCACAGTTCTCTGGACATAAGAAGCTCCAGCCCAAGTTATCTGAGCCGGCAGTGAGCAGAGCGTCATCAGGTGGAGCTTCCTGAGTTTTTCGCAACAGATCTGACCATAGAAAACCTCAACATCTTGTGGATTTATTTCTACAATCGTGTGGTGGAATTATGAGTCCTCAAAGGACTAGTTTGTGAGCAGAGAACTCAAAGCTTTGCTAAAACAATGGAAGCTTCACATGCTGCCTATGTCGCTGTACCTCCGACCCCTGTTCCCATGACACCGGCCGCAGGATACCTGTTCAGAATGTTCCGGGAGTACCAGAGCAACGAGGTTATCGTAGCCCATTACAACTTCACAGGAAAGTTAAACAAGAACAGGGACGGACTGAAACCTGAAGCCATCGTGTTCCTCATCATCTGTCTGCTCATTGTGCTGGAGAATGCTGTGGTTCTTGTGGCGATCTGGAAGAATAAAAAGTTCCACCTGCCCATGTACTACCTGTTGGGCAACTTGACTTTCTCAGACTTGTTGGCAGGCTTCACATACATGGTGAACATCATAACATCAGGAGCCAACACGCTCAAAATGACGCCTGTCCAGTGGTTCCTAAGAGAAGGTGGTGTCTTCATCACACTGGCTGCATCCATCATCAGCCTCCTGGCCATCGCTATTGAACGTCATGTTACCATGGTGCGAATGAAGCCATACCAGGGGGCCAAGCGTGGACGTATGTTCGTTTTGATTGGTGCAAGCTGGGTGCTGTCAGTTTTTCTGGGCATCCTGCCTATTATGGGCTGGAACTGCATGGGCATCCTGGAACAGTGCTCTACTGTTCTGCCGCTCTATTCCAAGAGCTTCATTCTCTGCTGCATTACGGTCTTTTCCGCAATACTGCTGGCTATTGTGGTGCTCTACGTACGCATCTTCCGCATCGTGAAGTCCAATACACAGCGGCTAGGCTGCGGTCCACAGCGCAAAGGTTTGGCAAGGAAGTCCCAGAAGTACATGGCTCTGCTGAAGACAGTCACCATAGTGCTGGGTGTCTTCATCGCCTGCTGGCTGCCCCTATTTATACTCCTTTTGTTGGACTTTTGCTGCCCAGCACAAAGCTGCCAGGTTCTCTTCAAGGCAGAGTACTTCCTGGGTATTGCTATGATTAACTCACTGCTCAACCCCATCATCTACACATTAACCAGTAAAGATATGCGTAGGGCCATACTGAGACTGCTCTGCAGCTACTGCCTGCTGACCAAGGATGGACATATGAAGAAGTTTGGAATACCCTTCTTGGAGTGCAGCACAAGTAAGACAGAGGTGCCATCACACAGACTAGAGGGCCTGGAGACAACAGTGTCCTCTGGAAACTTCACACCAACAACTATAAAAACTATTTATCCCAGAATTTCAAAAACTTGAGTTTTTGGGACATTTTGTGTCACAGCTTGGCTTTACTGTGGACTGGTACAGTCGTGACTGTTGGCCAGCCCAGACTGGACTGAAAGTGCTTCCTAATAACAGAACTGATTACATAGCTCTTGTTATTTGATACCTAAAGAAGTACCGGACTCAGTAACCGTCAATGGCATTAAAACTACGGGCATAAGCAACCTGTCAGACTTTCTTGTTAAGTGATCTTCTGTAACTGCTGCCAAGGATCAAACTGATAGGTGAGGACTTGTAACAGCAAAGCAGGGCCTGTTTTCTATTTAAATCAAATAGAGCTTGAAGCAACATGCACTTAAGACGAAAAACAACTGTGAGCGAGAAGGTGGCAGCATTACTGTGACTAGGGCCTTTTGAGATTACTTGGCACACTTAACAAGATCTGTTATCTTTCAGTTTGAAACAACCAAAAACAATCCCCCATGGCCTGAAAGCAAGTACAGTTTGTGCGTCGTAAAATAGTATGGTTCTAGCACCATACGGTGCTCTACAGACGGTGCTGCACAAGAGTGATCAAATGAACCCAAGCTATGGAGGCAGCAAAACAGGCAGAAGGTGACTTGCTAAATGTCTCCCTCCCGTTTTATGAGCGTGCACTTTCAGAAATTCTGCCAGTTTCAATATCATGCTAACAAAGGAGTTCAGCACTCCCTTTTTTGGAGTAACTCCAGATCTTACACAATAAAGCATGTTTTCAAAGGCAGATACAGTCTCAGCAGACTAAAAGGATGTTAGATTACTTGACAAGTCATGAAAACAAACTCATTTTTAACATTACAAACTATCTGTATGGAATAATGCTTTGCTTTTGTAGCAGTCTGGAAAGTGATTGGTCCAGTGTTTGTAGCCTTATTTGTTGTTCAGTTGTAAAAGAAACTATGTATTGTGAATAAAGTAAGCAATATTTGTTTATTAAAAAAGTTGTTTTCAAGAACTAAATTATGACATTTTACTCAAGTGTATATATGTACATTGATAATAAATATATACGAGTGTTTATATTCAGTCTTTTGCATTTCATTTTCCTTTCCACTTTTCCACCTATGGAAACTTCCACTACACAAATGGGTTCTATGAGACTTCTGTTTAGGGTTGCTGATGGATCTACATCTGCATGGATAGAGCTATGGTCTTTCACTAATCCCAAGACAAACAACCTGTTTTGTGTAATCACATTATCAGACATACAGGAACCAATATTGAGGCTTGGGGCTTTTTGCCAGCCTCAAACTGGCAGCGATTTAAAGGTCTTGTGACTTAGTGATACTGGGATAAGGAAGCAAATGGTGTACTTTGTGTTGTTAGCACATCTAATTCTCTTTGCATCATTTAATGCTGTCCCATGGTTGATGAATGGGCTACTAGTTGATTTTATCATACAGAAAAGAATAAAGAGGTGGTCAAAAACTGATTTCAGATAAATGTATCAACAGTAATGATCAAAAAGACAAGACTACAATCTATTTAAAAAATATCATGTTTAATTTCTGTTTTCCCCTGAAAATAATAACATTCTCGAGAATATATTTAACAAATTAAAGTTCTTAAAGTTTTGAGAAATCTTTGAATTCCAACATTTAAAACTTAAATTCAGAAATTTGCTCCTAGAGGCGATTTCCCATGACTGTCATCTCCTACGTGCGCTTTGTTACAGCACCACACATTATCTGGCGAGTCACAAAGCTGCACTACATTCAGTGTGGTTTGATGGCGGTATAAGACGTGTGCCTAATCTGCCACTGCTGCCTCAGCAGGAAACTTCAAAACAAGGTTATTGTGTGGTACGAAGACTGAATATACCCGAAGTGTGAATGTCTGCCGCCCCGCTACATGCCCACTTCACCACAAAGTAGAGCTGCAGCCTGAGTCATTTTGTAGCGACATTGGGCAACCAAAACGCCAGCCAGTCACGCAACCAAGACTATTTAAGTGTGCAAATGTTTTTCAATCATAAACTATTACACGTTATGTCCACTAATGATACAAACCATAAAGAACAATGTAAATGAAATGAAAGAGTATCCTTAAACGTTCTCCTTTCACGAAAAGCATGTCAGAGATAAATGCCTAATTGAGATGAATGTATACAGTTTTAAATGTTACATTTTAGAACAGCACTGCTTACGACAGATCTATACTTGAACAACTTTTTTAAGCTAACCTTTTTTTATCAGCACACTGGTAATTTGCATGAGGAATAAATAGCCTTTCTTGGTTCTCTCTTTGCAGTCTCCGTTTTTTTCTTCCTACTCTAACACACTGCACTCATTTCATGAAGGTCATGAGCTGAAGTACACAACACAAAAAGTACACAACACAAACTTTCACTTTGTTCTGTTACACAGATTCAGGCTGAAATGACTCTAACCAAGAGTCATTTCTCCAGCCATTTTCAGTGTGACCGATCAGCATGGAACAGCTCATGCAGACAACAGCTACTAAAATAGCAAACAAAGGAAATAGAAACTAAAGACGACACCGTAACAGTGAAGATCTCTGTGCTGTACACCTAAATGTATTAATGACTCACTAATAGAGGAATGCAAGACTTAGAGACACTTGCAGAGCAAAGTGAAGGCTTACAAGATTCACAGTGAGTTTGTGCTAAGCTACAGAATGACAGCACTTCATGCAAAAGGACACCACGGTGGTGGAAAGGTTCTAGTCTAGCTGCGTCTCTCTTTAGCTATAACTGTCACTGGCACTGGCAAATACAGGAGAACGCAGAGATTTTTTTCAGTATGGTGAGAACTTTCAGGTTATTCTTATTACTGAGATAGCAATGTGTTCATTGAGAAGGCAATGTGTAGCAGATTCACTAAAGTGAGCAATTACAATAATGTGAGGAGTAAAGCTTCACCCTAAGAAAGTAACAAAGGGGCTACTTTTGGAGAATAAAATCTGAAGAACTGTCCAAGAGATAACGCTCACTGCCCTCAATGTACAAGCACAAAACTGTAAGTTGAGACAGACAGAAAAATGACACAAAATCTGTAACAGTCAACAAAACATATATTTGAACTTAGTACAGTAGGTTTTAGGTTATTATACAAAATTTATTAAAAAAAAACACACACACACAAATGAGAATAGAACAGTACTAAATGGTGGAATAAAGAGAAAATTTACAAAGGACTATCCCATGGTCCAATGGAATTCTACCAGTCTGTGCTGACAAGGCTCCACAGCTCATTACTGACCTCACAGGGAGATCGGCTGGATGTGTCTATGTTTATGGGGGTTGCCAGATCTGTACCATAGTGGGCTGGAGGCGTAAAAAAGAACAAAATACAGCATGATTATTAACACAGTGCGATTGTTGGCTTATAAATACATAAGTCATAAACCACACATATGCTGCCGTAATATAGTTCAAAACATTTTAGTTCAATCTTAAAGGTGCACATACAAGCAGCTTCATACGTTTTAGCATAGCTAAGTTAAAACAGTATACTGGATATTTAACCAATATTAAATGAAATAAGCAGACCATAGTACTGATGACTGAAGGGAACCACCAACATTGCAAACGCTGCAAAGTTGCCATGTTCTGGTCCTTCCTACAAAGTTTAATCCCAGCTCTTCTATACAGTTAATCAAGATCATAGAAGCATATTAGACTCAAAATGAAGTATAGAGGATAAGTAGTGGAACTAAATTCTGGGGGACAATAAATCTTAAGGAGTAGGGTTGGCCAACCATATATCTCGGTAAAGGCTGCCCTCTAGTGACCAATTTTTGCAAGAATACATCTAATTACTCAAGACTGTGTTCATAACAACTGATTTCCATCATATGATTATGAAGATCAGTATTTCTTCAGGGGAAGACTCATTGTTTTAGTTATTTTTTAAATATTACTATGCTAATTATAATTTTAACATACAGCAATAATGCCTGACATGTCTTAAAGTGTTTTCCCAACATAACCCTATAAAAGAGTAGTTAAATACACTTTCTCAGTAAATGTAACTAGAAACACAGAGCATTGAAATAAATGTATGTAATATTTAAGCTACATAAAATAAGTTTGAGTGGTTTACCTCCCCTCAATATGTGTGGCTCCGTGTCCAACTCCAGCTTGATTTTGGTAACCTTAAAGTAGAGCTGAGCCAAGTATCTGCAACAAAAAGGGTGGAAAACTTAGTGTAACTACAGTCAAGACAGAACGGACAGAGCATAACTAGGAGGCAATAAATACATTTATACTTATAAATACATTTATAAATACATTTATATCATATTCAACTCATCAGCTAAATACACAGCTATTCACCAGTTAAATGTTGGGGGATGACAAAGCATGGCATGAAATTAGAGATGGCAATACCTGAATACCAGGAATTGGTATTGGGTTGATATCAGCAATAAAAATTCTGGATTTGATATCAGAAAAAAGAAGAATGAATCTGATCCAATATTGTAATAAATCCAGCCTGAAATAGCACACACCCACATTGTATGATGTGAGGTAATGTTACACATCCCTGCGAGGTTGTGAAGTGTTCATTTAGATGCTCATTTTAAGTGAAGCTCCATTAAAATAGTTCATTTTGAAACTAGTAGTTTAAAAAATATGAAGATTACTGGTATTGAAAAAGAAAAAATGTTATTGTGTAACCTCTACATGAAATTGTGAATAAAGCTGAATACAGCTGACGAACTTACGTCTGAACTTTAGAAATGGCAGTAATATGCCGTGGTTGTGATGCTGATTTAAAATGTTAAAATGGGTTTGAGTAAGCTGCTACATAAACGCATTACTGTTGTTTTTATTATTAATTATAATTTGCAGGTGTCTGCTAGTTTTCCTTACATGGCTGATGGAATGACTTCAGTAGTGTCCTCATCTACTTCCTGTTGCAGAGCCTGAATTTCCTGCTCATTCTCCCTTAGCTTCTCCAGCTCTCTCTGCAGGAATCTGACACATTAAATCAAGGAAGCAACACCAGAAAAAGGCAGGCCAACATTAGCAGCAGTGTATATATGCAATGCCAAGCTACAGATATTTCAGACAAATCATGTTTGGTGCTACGTATGATAGGAGAGACCTAGATAGCAAAGGGGAAATGAGCAAGCTAATACGAAAAACTCGGTCTAATGAAAAACCTTCAAATATCCTGTAATTAAAAAAAAAAAATCTCCATTAATACTCCTCTCCAGACCTCTCCCACCTCTCCAATAATAGCAAATACTCATGCACTCACCAAGACTGTACTGTTTACAATGGTTGTGAGTTGATTCATAAATTTTGGTCAACTTGGCCTGAGAAATGGGATTGTTTATAATGTGACAACAAATCTCAACATGCTGCACTTTATTCAGTCCATCAAGTTTCTGCCACTTTAATATGTAAAGCCTGCACATGCTATTCTAACTCTGTCCCACAGCTGTCGCACATAGGATCAGTATGTTCAGGTTATGGCATAGTAGAAGTTGCAATGCAGCAAAGGGCACCATATACATGCAGCATTAGTGAAGGATACTGTATCTCTGAATCCAGAATGTGACTTTTGGCCAGACTCTGCTGCACCTCCTGCTCCACGCTCTCCAGATCCCGCATCATCCGGTTCTTCTGACTCTCCAGATCCAGGAGCTTCTGGCCAACCAGTTCTTCGGAATGCACCAGGCCTATAAGCAGAGAGAGAGACCAACAAAAAAGTCTTTCATATACAACTCTTCACCTTTCCTATGGTTTCAATCTTCAAACTAAAATATGAGGCTGAGCTGACATTACACCACTGGTAATATGGTAAAATGGTAAAATGCATAAAATTTGATAGTGCTACAAGCGATGTTTGTAGAGGTGATCGTCCAGCTGCATCATTTCCTACTATTTAAGAGCTGAGTGACTGTTCTCTTCGCCTCCATGTGGTGGTCAAACAGTGCTTGCTGTTTATTTCTCGCTGCCCTCAGCGCATTTTCAGCTTTACTGCTCTCAATGAGCTCGATGAGCGCCTCTCCTGCGTTCTCCAGATCAACATAATGTAAGGCATCGTTTGTCGACATGTCTTCGTCCAGATGAATTTGTAGTATTCCTGTGAGGAGAAAAATTTAAACATGTAATAATGTAAAACACGACGTTAACAATTCGCCATGTGACTGGAAAATCTGGGAAGGAGTTGACCAGTCTTTGAGATACCTTATTCTCGAAAGCATCTCGCTTAGTTAAAACGGTATTTAATTTATAATAACATACTGTAAAACCACCGAATGGGACACACGACCAGAACAGGGAGGAAAAACATTAACGTTAACGTTACCCACAGAGAGAAGCCCGACCGACAACACAAATATAAAAATACAGGCGAAATAAGTGTAAAATTGTTTTATTTGGTATAAAGTGTAATGCAGTGCTTCATAACATTAAATATTTAATGTTTTAGGATAAACAGACAAAACCGAGCTTTACGGTCACATTGGCTACTGAGCTTCAGTGACGTTAACGTTGTAACTGCCGTTAGCTCTCGTGCTAATTACTTCTACAAAATCTGCGTCTTTTTTTGGAAGCTCGACAGTGACATGTCTACTCGTATAGTTATATCTTCAAACTACGGCTACAGGTGTGTTTTATTTAAGTGTGCTTTCTTTCATTTCTTTTTAAACTGCTCTCCGCTGAAAACTTTACACTCACCTCGCCTGACGTTTTGTTTTCAAACTGAGCCGCTCATTGCCGCCCTTTGCGAAGTGTGCCTGAACAACGGCTTGGCTCGATAAATTAACAATCAAAATGAATACATGTAAAATTCTGCGTGGAAAAGTTTGTATATTAAAGAGCGATAATATATGATGTACTATAAATCAGCAATCAGTACTTATTTTCAATGGGTTCCTATTCTGTTATAATTTACTGTCAGGCAAATGAGCTGGACGCCTCGTTTTCTGCGCTACCCAGCCCCTCCCCTCTCCAGCTCAAATAAAGTGGCTGCCTCCTCACAAACCGGCTCCGATACTACCACGATAAATAGTATGTCAAAAACCGTACATCACCTATAGACGTCTATTAATTAATGTAGTTTGTGTTGTGTAGTAGAATGTGGTTCCGGATGCAGGCAAAGTTTTTTCCCCTCAATTTCTTAAAGGGTAATTCCTATTTTTTCCGATGTCCACATAATTCAATAATTGAGATATATGCAAAGTCATTTCGAGTGTTTGGTCAAATAGTTAATTGTAGAGAAATGACTTTTCATTTTTTCAGTATCAAAAAATCGTGAAAAAGCTCAGTACACCTTCTGAAAGAGACAGTGGCAGTGAAGGAGCTGTGGGCCCAGTATGCACTAAATAAGGCCGTAACTTCTATTACAGCAGTAAATTCAGAATCTATCAGCAGATTGAAGAGAAGTAACATCACAAATCAGTACACATGCCGTCACCCATGTAAACACAAAAATGAATTCGTAGCTTAAATGCAATTTTTTCTCAGAAACAGACTTAAAAGTATTACCATTTGAAAGTACAAATCCACAAGTACTGCCAATTCCTCAATCCAGTTGCTTAATTATTTTCTGCATAGAGATTAAGTTTATTACATAATCAGTCTCATGATCACGTCTTGTGGAGTCATCACAGCAGAGACATGTAGGTTGTCATGCTGAACTTTTCCAACTTTGTATTCCTAAGTAAAATAACAGGTGTAAGACTGATGAAATGGAGGGAATTTAATTATGTTCATTTTGTTCCTGTTTAGTTCTGTTAGGTCCTAATTTACATAATATGGTTGCATTCAATACTTTGTTTCATAATACCATAAAAGTACATACAATAAAACCAGTTCATCACTAAAGGGTTTTTTGTTTAAACTGACTCTTAGAAATGAGGTAAAGAAAGCATTTCAGGGTGCACTGGCATATTGCCGATATTATTGAGCTCTTGATTTCAACAGTAATAAAGGGCTACCTCAATTTGGTGACAATGGGTATATTGATGGTTATTTTAAAACAAAAGTGAAATATTTGAAATGATTTCTGGGTTTTTGCAGGCCATTATTTTAATACTTTCAGAAAATGTGTTCTTGAGCTGTGCAATGTAGAAAGCTCTAGTTAGTTGAGATGTTTGTATCCCTCTAGTTGTGAGGTACTGCCCTTGACTGACCAGCCCAGAATTAAACACCTGATTTTACTGGGTTGCTACACAATTTTTAAAATTAAATTCAAAGACGTCAAAAAATAGCAAGACAGAGACCATTTTCACTGTACAACACAATCAAATATGGCATACATTATATATTTTACTCTTATTTATTTGATTGGTTGAAATAACATGCATATGTGTTTTTGTCTTTTTAAGTGTGTTTGACTTGATCAGCTCTGTTGTCCATCATCAGCAGTTTGAACCACAGGGCCGCTGTTGACTGGATATTTTTGGTCGGTAGACTATTCTGGATTAGTTGATAAGATGACTCAGTTTCAACAGAGTGTTTAGGCATTAGTTTACAAGTTAATTAGGGACCGCACCTACTCCTGTAAAGTTTATAGTCACTAGGTTTATGATCTATTTGTCACAACAGATGCAGTCATATGAAAGTTTTAGCTCCCCTGGTCAAATAACAGGTTTAGTTGACTTTCGGTAAAAAAGTGAAATAACATCCTCTACAAAGTATACCTTAAACACATTTTAGGACACAATTTCAGTTTTTGTTAAAATTAACAAATGGTGCTAAAGTTATGGACCCTTATATTTCAAGTTTTTTTTTTCATTATGTTAAACTGTTCTCTGCAGAGAATGTGTTAACGTGTTTTCACCTAGAAAATCAACAAAACATGTTACTTGACCCAAGATATTTAAACTTTGGCATGCTTGTCCATGTTTAGAAAAAAACACAGGTCCCAACTCTCTGAAATAAAATTTCAAATAAAAGATTTTATATATTAACAAATACACATCACCGACTGATCTGGCAATATGCAATACTGAAACTTCACAAATGGCCAGCAGTGTACCATTTTTTTCCCCCTATAAAACCATACATTTTATTTAGTAACTGGACATCAGTATGCACTGATTCTTAATTGGCAGTCAAACCACTCTTTAATCTGTGCACCAACTGGTGTTAGTCTCTTATCGACCTCATTGGTCTAATATATTAGTTTCAATCACTCTTGGCTTTGTTTTTCAGCTTTTCTTTCTTTTCTCTTTCTTTTCGTTTCTGCCTGTAGAATTCTCTGAAATGCATCCTCTTCGGATTCAGGCCATAGGCTCTCAGTCTCTGTCCACTAAACTCTCTGCCTCCCATCTTCACCTTCAGAGAGCTAGAAAGTAATCGTCCGCCTGGGTGCCTGTTTTTCTTCTTTCGCCATTTTGGATTTTCAGTCCTGGGCTCCTCTTTGGGAGCCTCTGCGCTTTCATCTTTAACAGTGCCCCTCTCCACCTTCATCTTTTTCTTAGGGACCAGGAACTCTTCATTATCCTCTTCCTCCTCAACCAAAGTCTCTCTCAAGGCTTCGGCTGCTATGCGATCTGCCATGTCAGCTGCTGAAGCTTCCTGATTAGACTCCGCTTCTTCGTTTTCCTCTTGCTTCAGTTCTTTGTTCTCCATCTCTGCCTTCTTCAGCCGATCCCTCCTCTTCTTACCCACTTTCGCCTTAGCGTCTGACTGCCTATGGAGCTCATCATTCCTGCAGAAGAAAATGCAATATTTAATAAGATACCTTCGTTCATGGGACAAATACGGGTGATACAATTAATGGCAACTAAACACACTGTGATATTCAATAGAAAGGTACACCTCCAAACTCAAGACACAATATTATTGTGGAAGCTATCAAATACCATAACTGCTTTTTAGTCAAATAAGTTGCAGTTTCACCAAAGATTCTTTAGCTGGGCAGCATAGCTTTGGTTTCACAAGCTCTCGCTACGCCGTCCAATTGTGATTTTTGTTTTATTATTAGTTTATACAGCTGTTTTAGTATATTACTGGACTGAATACCATCACAGCTAATAGTAAAAGTTGTAGTGCTTTAATTTTAAACTCTGTGCTAGCTATAGGGTCTACCACCCAAAAAAAGAACAGCAAAGATGAGACCCATTAATACAGTGTAAAATACATAAATAAATAAAAAAGAACTTTGACTAAAATTAACATTCAGCTGGAGGCCTACTGAGGTCATAGTAATGGTGTTAAGAGGCCACCAGTAGAACAAAAATTTAAAAGAAGGCAGGGGAATAAATTTTAAAATGTTTTATTATTTAAAAAAGCTGATGGAGATCAGCAGTGTTTCTATTGGATGAGCAACAGGAGCTGCCTGTGACCTAAAACTACAACTAACTGGTACAACACTGGATGCTGAAGAGGACTTGTTGTCTTATGCCAGCCTTACACCAAACGACTTTTCAAGCGATTTCACTGTCGCAGACAAATATCCATTTCAGAATAAAAGCGCGACATGACTAACAAGATTCTCGTGATATCTCGATCAATTGGTATAAGGTGGTCAAGATGGTGGTCTTAAGTCAGTCTTTTTCTCGTCTCGACACTGCGACAAAATCAACCATGTTTAATATTATCGTAAGTTTTAAGTCTTGGCTCATGCAAACAGTGACGTGCCAGGGGCGCGCGCGAGTGCTTGTTGGCGAGCGCAGGCGCGCAGTGCAAGAGAGCGAGAGTGAATGCAGCCGTGTCTGCCTGAAATCTCTGTAAAAAACGGCAAATCAATACAATAATCATAACTTAAAATGTAAACTGACTGTTTTAATATTTCATTTTCACTGAGCCTGTAACACATAAGGAAATGTGCAGAGGACTTTAAGAATGCCATTATTGAAGAATCATCCATTTTTGTCTATTTTTTTATGTTTTCTGTTACACTGGTTTCTTATTTTGTTTGTTTATTATGGTTTAGTTCATGACACCCAATCGACAATGCTGAATTGCTGCATGTTTTGTTTTTGTGTAAATCTTAATATCAAATTACAAAAATTAACTGCACATTTTTCAGGTTAATTAATACAATTCTGGGTGATGATCTGTCAGAGTATACAGTTCTAAAGTGAACTGCTCTTAGTCCCAGATCTTTATATGCCCAGCCAACGTATCTTCCCATCTGTACCACTATATAGTGGAAGGAAGTGTTTATCTGCTTGTAAATTTCCACCAAGTACATGATGGAGAATAATCTCAAAAATCTAGTTGCAGTCTTGTAAATAGTGACACTGCAAGATTCCTAGTCTTTGCAAAATCATAGTCTCTGACAAAAAAAACGCGAAACTGTCTTTAGATGTGAGAAGGTGTCAGATTTTAGTCTTTCAAAAGTCTTTTCAAAGTCATCTAGTGTATGGTTAGCATCAGACGAGGTATTTTCTCCTCAGCAGATGAAATATTTTCACTATTCATGGACCTTGCTAACACCAGCTAGAGCAGTTAACATAGTTAGCAATCAAGCCACGCTGCCTTCTCAGTCAAGTCCTTAATGCGTTGTTGGCAACATGTTCATGTTACAGCACTCGTGTTTCATAGCGGCACAGTGTAAAATACATACAAATACTAGCACAACTGTAAGCTTTTACAGGCCTGTTAAAACAGTGTGTAACTGAATTCTTAGCCTGTATATTTTTTCCATCTTCCTGTGATGAAACAGAACAAGTACCCAAACAGTGACATAAATTTTCAAATACTGGCACTTCAAATGGATAACCGAGTACTTAAGCACCCACATACATCCCTAATAACCACCAACATACTACTGCTATTAAAAATGGCATTCAGAGGCATGTATGTACATGCATGACCTTACACACAGTAGTGGGAAAAGTAGTGTGAAATTTGTCATTTCGCTAACTGTGCTTCTCCCAGACTGGGGATAGTGTCGCCAGCTGAATGAAGGTGTTGGGACGTTGCAGCCACTAGGCATATTTTATATTTCACAAAATATGCCTTGTGCCCACACAAGACTTCTATATAAAACAAAACTAACAGCCAAACAAACATATCTGCCATCAAAACTGTTCTGTCTTTTTGACAGTTATGACAGCCATGAAGACATTTTTCATCTTTTTCACTTCAGAAATTAGTTGAACCTGAAGCCTGAATACTCACTCAGTATACAAGGAAGTGAATACTTGTTTCTTCTTCCGGACGTTCTGAGCTTTGATCTGATAATTCTTCACATCACGGACCTCCTCTCTCTCAGTCCTGACACAAATATCCAGACACAGGAACAGCAAATTAAGAAAGGACGATTGGATGACATTATCATGATAAATCACATCACTCTATACTTTCCTGAGTATATCATTTGTATTGTCAGTACTTCTAGAACACAGAACATCTGCATACCAAAAAAAGACTAATACTGCATGGTAACAAGTATCTGGGTGGATGGTCAGTCCATTTTGCCATAATCTTATTTTATTATTTTGTTTATCTCACTGTACATTTTAAAATTTGGCACTACAGTTCTGTTGCTGCATTTTGTCAAACTTGTTTGCAAAACACAGTTTGTTTAAATGTTTTAATATAGTCCATATTGTGTGTGGTGATATTTTTTACCCACCCCATATTATCCACTCTAAAGTCAAATAAAATAACCTCATCTTCCAGAATATTTTTCCCCTCTAAACACAATCGCTCCATTCATATAAACCCTTTACCTGAACATGCAGGTCTTCCTCAGCGAGCACCAGCGATTTAGCTCCTTCTCATCTGCTTGCAGGACCTACCACGAGACAAACAGTTAGCAATCTATCACAAAGTGACCAGCAGAAGTTTCGGTAGGGTCTTACTCTATGGTCTGCTCAGAGAGAAGATTAAGTCTCCAGGCTTTGGTCAGAGCTATTCCCGGAGGAATAGCAATACCAGGTCAGACACAATCACAGCTCATCAACGCAAGACAGGTTTGTCCAATTTAACTCACTGCCCTACTCACCTAGCCAATGATCACATATGAGGATAGAGTTAATTCTACAGAAAAGATTCTACTGACTCACCTCATCAGTGGTCAGACCAAAGTCATTGGGCACCACTTGTCTGTAGCGGAACCTGCAGGGCAGATCATCTACGATGTCCTCATAATCCAGTTTGTAGTACTCGTCCAAGTACTGCTCAAATGTCTTCTCCTCTAAAATCCACAACAAGAGTTTTTTTTCTAAACAAAACAGTTCTGATCTGAGTCTCATCTCAAAGTAGTTAGCTAGCCAGCTGACTAAGCTTAGTTTGATCTACTCATGGATTTTTACCATGCAACATCACCATGGCAACAACTGCATCACACCATCACAAAAGTTCAGGATTTTGGATTATAAACAGTATTTGGACCAATCAGTGACACCTAATAGAGCTGGCCCCCCTCCTATTCTTTCTCCATAATGTTTGTGGTGTCAGTCACATGAAGAATTTAGAAAATAAAGCAATTATTACTCTGATAAGCACCAACAACATAGGAATGACGAGAGCACTGTTTATTACCCTTATAAGTGTTTTACTTTCTACATATTTACATAGTTTTTTCTGTCATTGAAAAATAAGCCACTCAAACCCTCCTCATGTTTCATGTAACTGGCTGTAGATGTAAATTTTTGCATGACTGGACCATTTTTACTCCGTTTCTCAGAAAACAAAATACTTATCTGTGCACTAATGAGTATACTAATTTGTTGTAAATGACATTATATACACTGATCAATACACACACACAAACAAAAACACACATACATATATATGAAAACACTCCTCTTATTGGAGTTCACATACGTGGGTCAAACGCTGGTTTACTTTTGGTGAGGACTTCAGCAAAGTGAGGTTTCTTCCTCTTCTTGCCCATGAGAGGGGCATCGTCTTTGTTTTTTTTCTTCCTCAGCTCTTTCCGCTTCTTTTTCTTAGATAGAGGCTGCTGACTTGGATCATAGTCAGCGTCCATCTGTCAAAGAAACAGAATTTATACCCATTTTAACATGAACATCCTCTACTGTAAACTTGCAAAACAACAACCTTTACAATATTTAAGGACAATCCGCAATAAAATACAAGAACAGAAGTAGTTTAGGTTGCTCTTACAATGAAGTCAGGATCCTCACAGTTTGGCTGGAAGCTCTCCTGTTCACCCTCATACTCTTCCTCTTCATACTCTCCCTCCTCATCCTCAAATTCTTCCTTAACCTCACCTGTCCATGTGTCCCAATTCCAGTGCCCTGGCAAAGAAAACGTTCAAAACTCTTGCTGCACTGGATTTACACACAACACTGTGGGATTGGGCTGGGCAGTATGACACTAATACAGTACATCACGCTATGCAAAAATGATAAATACTTAAAAATGATGACCGTTTTTCAAAATGATGTGTCAAAGTTCTATTCCACGTCTGAATGGATAAAGAGAGCTCCTCTCTCCAAGTTAGCAGAACTGTTTAACAAGCATCAATCGTTTAAAAGGTTTGACATTTATTGAACGATGGCTTGGAAATCATGCACTGCGTTCACTTTGGTAACCACGTAAAGTGTGTGAAGCAAACGTTTTTATTCCAATTTGAAATAATGCTAGACAAGACAGTGAAAAGCCTTATAAGTGGCTATCACCAGCAGCTCAGCTTTTACCTTTTTTTATTTATTTATACAAATACAGTCATCATATTGTATACCCTGGTGAAATGTCAGGAAAAATGAAACGAGAAGAAAAAAAAAAACCCACAGATTCCACCCAAGCCTATTGCTGGTCAAACATCTCTCCAAAAGAAAGCAATTGAGAGATAATAACTTACCCTCCAACTCTTCATCATCCTCATCATCAAACTGAGGTTTCTCCTCCTCATTCTCGCCATAGTATTCATCGCCAAAACATTTCTACAGGTGTAAGAAGAAAAAAAAAAAAGTTGGTCATTTAAGTTACAGTAGATTCTCTTAACTGTATAATAAAGAACATATTAACAGCTCAGTTTTTTGTGAACCACTTGCTATAAACAAGCATTTAACTTAAGAAAAAACTGGTCATCACTTTTCTCTTTATGAAACTCCAACACGTTTGGTGGGCACAATGCTCTTAATTTATTGATTCTCCCATCCTTTGCCAGTCCCACCTGCATCAGCTGGTCGTGCTGCTGAGGATCGAAGTCCCCCTCCAGGTCCATTTCACTAAAGGCCAGCTGTTCATTCCCTGTTACTTTCTGCAGTGTCTTTAGTTTCTCCATGATCTCCGCTCGCTTCAGGTTCTTCAGCTCCTTTAGCTGCTGCCGCTTCCGCTCCTTCTCCTACTCAAGAGAACAGTGAACGGACCAGTGGTTAACAACTCTGGCATGTACCTTAGAATGATTTTTGGTGCATCTTGTGGAGAGAAAAAAATAACTAGTTTTAATGCTAATACTTTGTGAAAATTCTGTGGGTTTCAAACCACAAACTCAATAAATAACTGAGGTAACAAACTTACTAACCAATAAAAGACTTCTTCCACATTTAATATTTGTGAGTCTGGATCATTAGAGCCTCTCTCCATTATAGTCCACTACACAACAATCAAATATGCAACAGCCAGCAAGTGATAACACAGCTGAAAATGTCAATGAGGTTAAACTACAGCCTGTGAAAGGTAAGTGGGACAAAAGAGCTCAATCTCCATTATTTACATTACTGTTTCTAAGATCTGACACTAAGCTACCTTTAGACGTTTTTTTTTCCCCCCAGTGTTGAAAACAGTACCAGGAAACACTTACCTTTTCCTTTCTCTCCCTCACTTCTTCCCTCTTTTTCTTCCTCCGGTCATCTTTACTTCGGACTGAAGTGGCGATTTTGCGAGGGTAGGTCTTGATCTGTGGATTCATAGTGGGTGTACAGGAGAGAATTCAGTAAGTCTACAGTAAATACAGTGAGCAATGATGTGGGGATTTTAGGCTGATGCTGATCTCTGATATGCACATATCCACTCATGTCGATGCTGATATATAAACATTTACAAAAATGTAGAAGTTGGAACTAAACTCACATAAATTACAATGATGGAGAAACAATATTTTTTTCTAAATGGTTACAAATCCAGTACAGTGAATGCAATGAAGATATTTTACCACAGTAGCCAAGTGCCACCTAAATGTCCTGCTCTCCTAAAGTACAATAAAAACGCGATCAAATACTACTTTGAAATATGCGACAGATGTTCAGATCTGGCGGATTACAATAAAAGCAATTAACTGCCAATACAGATATTATCTGTATTGTTACTAAAAGCCTCTGCTTATGCAGTTGTAAAATTAGCCAGAGAGTCACCAGTAATCCCTGAATGGGAATTTAGTAAAGAAGAGAGTGACAAAGTAACATGAACACACAAACATTTTGCTGCCTAACAACCAAAACAAACACCAACACCAATACAAACTTTCTAAACAAAAACATGCCTGTTGAGCTCCAGGCTCTTCAAAGCGGAAGTTGTAGTGCCTCTCAAAGTCCTCTTGCTTCTGCAGAAATGATTCGCCCTCCTCCTCAGAGTCTTCCACATCCTCCTGCATGAGCTCGTCATAGGTCGGAATTCTGAATACCAGCCACATACACAAAATTTACTCTAATACTAGCGCAACTTGATTAGGATGCACAGAATAGCATTATTATACTGGACATACCAATTAATAACAAAAACAAAAAATTATCTTGCCCTCAATCACCAAAGATTTCAAAGGGCTTTGGCAGGAAATATCAGAGAACATGCTTGTACAGATAATGTTCAATTGGGAAATTAATCCAGAAACATGCCCAAGAGCACCATCAAACACAAAAGTATTCTGCCACGAAATCAAGGAAAATCCTACCTCTCCTCATCTTCGTCTAGATATCCTTTGTTGAGGATGTAGTCTCGTAGAAAAGATTCCTTCTCATCCAGTTTCGGATCATTCCAGTAATCTTTCAGGTATTCCTGCAAGAACATGGACAGAACCAAATTCAGAACTGATAATATCAAGAAACCAAAGAAAAGAAACTTTGTCACATCCTAAAGATGAGATATGGGATTTGACTGGTAATTTGTAGCCAAAACGTACGGTTTCTCAGCCTAATTATCTAGTTCACTACACCAAATCCACACACAACTGCAAACCTCACAAGGGTCAGAACCTAAACTTACCATGTCCTGAACTTCATCTGTTCCTTCCAGCTCTGCCTGCCCTTTCAGCCATTCCACATAGTCAGCCTCCTCTTTGTCCTGACAATAAGAGAATAAGAGATGGAGACAAAGAGAGAAAAGGAATTCAAAACATTTAACACATTTACAAACATACCCAAACAACAGAGGTTCATGAATTATAAACTCATTTATCCATCCATAGATGCAAATCTCTAGACATACCTTCTCCTCTTGTGTTTTGGTCCTGCGTGTTAACAGCTGCCCTTCATCACTAACTTCATCGTCACTATCTTGCACAAACTTTCGAAAGCTAAAAAACAACATTGTGGCCAATTATGAGCTTTGTGGGCAATTAAAGTAATAAAACAGAGGGGGGGAAGCTCTGTAATCAGAATGCCCAAAGTCATAACTAATTCCACCCTACAGCCATGTTCCTACCTCTCCTTCAGTTGCTTCTGCTCCTGAATGTAGCTGGGAGATGCAGCTCTCTGTGAAAAACACATAGAAAGATTTGGTAATATCAGAGTCTTTGTATTGCAGTGCTAACATTAAACATACTGACATCATGAGTTCCATTACCTCCTGCATCTGCCTGGCAGCCTCTTCATCTTCACTATCGTCATCATCGAATTTTCTAAAGAGAGCAAAAGTGGTCAATTTTAAGAACTCTTTCAAATTAAAACAGGTTTTGCTTTAGTAAATAAAGTTTTTCCTACTTAGGGTAAATACGGACACACATTTATTGGAAACCAAAGGAATTTTTGGATATGTAATGACACAAAACAACCAAAACC